CCCCCCCCCCCTTTATGTAACCAGCAACCCGCAGAAATTAACATCATCTACCCCAGCAGACCATGCGTGTTCCTCTCCATGCCTTAATTACACCGTGCCAAACAAAGTAAAAAGGGTTTATTACAATTTGCTTAATTGCGTAAAAAAGGAAAGAAAGAAAAACAGTCCGGTTTAAAACAAACGGTTTAAATGTTTGATATGTGAGGTTCAGCGGTGGGATATTTATTTAGGACAGTGAGTAAACCACGGTGAGAAACCGCACTTGCCTGCTTCCTCGAACTATGTTGGGGCAAACAAGGCGAGAGCGGCGGTGCAAGTCAACATCTTGTCATCGGCAGAACAGAAACACTTAGGGCGTGACGTTGGCATGCAATTAGCCCATTCTAGTGGTGGCGACTTTCAGTCACGCCGTACCAGGCCGGTTCTTCCCCCCAGAAAAAATCATTTTAAAAAACGCTGTTTTGGGCTCAGTAAATTAAAACACCTCTTTACAAACAAAAAAAAACAACAACAACTTATGTATACCTGATGTAAAGTGAATACCGGATTTATGTGCTAATCGCATGTTTTTGTGCCATGAATTTCCAGGTGCAGAGCCACGTGGGTACCGGCGGCTCTGTCCCTGCGACACCCACCCCATCCCCCAAGCCATCCCCGCTACCAGCGCCCCCACCCCGTGGAGCCCGCCGTACCCACATCAAGCCGAGCGACCACCCCGACGACGACCCAAAACGTGAGGCCGTACTATACAGACATCTCAGCGGTAAGCGCAAGAGAGACCAAAGTTGCGTGTCCTAGCAGAGCCCGTCGCACGACTTTCTGAATTGTCCCGCAACGTCCTCCAGGACGACAGCTCGTCCTTGACTGTGCCCACTCAAGGTCACACTGCAGTCTTGGAATTTGGCCGACTCCCCCCCCCCCTTTTCTCTTACAAGACGGCGCGACCCTCCTCGCTTAAGAGGATGGAGGGAAAAATTAAAAAACGCACTGCGGTGAGCAGCAGCTCTTAAGTACATTAAATGAGATGAGAATCTGACGAAGCCACAGGGCGGTTGTGGGAGGGGGAAGGGGGTACTAGCTGTTGCTGCTGTGCAAGCAAAAGGACCTCCCCCTCCCCACCCCTCCCGAAAAATAAAAAGCGGTGGCCCTGGAAACGCTCCACGGCGAAGATAAACTTCTTGAACGCGCAAAATAAGATATGCAAATCTGGGGGGGAAGGGGACGATATGAGAAGAGGGAAAAAGTTATTTTTGTAGCAGTTGCACCATACCGAGTACGTATAGCGGGAGGGGGGGGGGCAGAGAGAGGGATTAAAGGCGGGATGGGGCCAGGACAGAGCCACGAGGCGGGAGCGCGTGCCCACTAAACTTTCTCACACCTGCATGCAACTTTCCAGTCACGCCCGGCCCCAGCCCAGCAGGAGACCACAAAGCGAAAGGCAGCAAGGCGACAAAGGGTTCGCGCGCGCGGGGGATGGCGTGGAGGGCGTGGAGTGGCGTAGACTGGCGTGACCGGTGCGCCTCGTTGCCCGAGCCCGGCCCAGCCAGTCTTAAGCATATCACGGGCGCTCGTTAGGGGGCACCTGCTGCTGTTGTGGCCGGGGCGCCGTTTTAATTATGTCCCCCGACTCGGAGAGATAAGCTCCTCTCTCCGATGCGACCTCGCCAAAGGATTAAAAGAAAGACGAGCAAAAAGCGGGCAGGAAAGGGGGGGGGGGGTAAGAGTGCAGCGGCGGTGCCGGCGCCGGGAAGACAACGCGCGCGAGAGATTGCATGAGAAAAATATGGCAAAGACAGCAGAGGCGGGTAAAGGGCAAGGTCGCGTGCCACTGCTGGAGGGCTATGGAATTAACTTCGGACCCGGAAACACATCATTTGAAAATGTTCTCGTCATGGTTCGGGAGAGCATTGTGGCTTTCCCTCTTCAGAACATCCGTCAAAAATAAAATGACCCCAGATTAACATTTAAGCGTTTCTTTAGTATGTAAGATAAAACCGACAGTTTAAAACGCTGGCGATGCGCGACAAGTCTAAAACGGTTAAAAAAAAGAAAGAAAATTATCAAAGTTTTTGAAGCCACAAAACAGCGGCACGCTTAAATTTCAAACCATTCTTCCCTCGGCTGCAGCAGGACTTGGGTGGAAGCGGGTAGCTCGGTGTAAATGGGAGGCAAAACAAAGGTTGCTCTTGCTGCAGGAAATGCGCGACTCATTTAAATATGTTTCCCACGATTCCAAAATACACAACAGCAGCAGCAGCATGAAGAGAAGAAATAAAACGATTCCTTTTCATCCCCTTGAAAAATTTTGAATAACGAGGCCACGGTGACTGCATGGTGCGGGGGGGGG